CCCACAGCCTGAAAAAGGGAGACAACATTTCTTTGGCAACAGAGAGGAACAAGGACCACAAAATGGTTTGTGTTGGAATGGACCTTAAAGATCATTTTTTCCAGCCCCTTTGCCATGAGTAGGGATAACTTGCATTAGACCAGGTTGCTCAGAGCCCCATCCAACCTGGCCTTAAACATTTCTGGGGATGGGGCATCCACAGCTTCTCTGGGCAACCTGTGCCAGTGTCCCACCAACCTCACAGTGAGAATTTCTTCCTAATATCTAACCCAAGTCTACCCTTTCAGTTTGAAGCCATTCCCCCTTATCCTGTCACTACAGGCCCTTGTAAAAAAGTCCCTCTCCAGCTTTCTTCCAGGCTTCCTTCAGGAACTGGAAGCCAAAACTTAGGTGACCCCAAAGCCTTCTCCTTTCCAGATTGAGCAATCCCAACTCTCTCAGCCTTTCCTCATAGCAGAGGTGTTCCACCCCTTGGATCATCTTGGTGGGCCTCCTCTGGCCTGGCTCCAGCAGCTCCCTGTCCTTCCTGTGCTGGGAGCCCAGAGCTGGATGCAACATTCCAGGTGGGATCCCAGCAGGGCAGAGCAGAGGGGCAGAATCCCCTCCCTGCCCTGCAGCCCACGGTGCTCCTGACACAGCCCAGGACACGTTTGGCTCTCCGGGCTGCAGCACACGTGGCCAGGCTGTCAGCACCCAGGCCATCCCTCTGGCTGTCCTGAGCAGCCAAGACCCCTGCCAGGGGGCTCAGAGACTCTGGCACAGTGCCCAAAATGCCTGTGAATTTGATTATGACCCGTGGAGCAAATTACCAACCTTAGATGAAGATCAACAAGCCACAAAAGTTTACGTAGAATATTAGCGAAGTTATCACGGGGTAGAAAAGTAGATTTTAGGGTTTTTGGTATGGGGGTCAGGAGGCAAGATGGAGGGATCTGGGCATGTCCAGCCTTTCTCCTTCTTCTTCTTGGCCTCCACCTTCTGCTGTGATGTTGGCACTTACAGATTGGTTTAGAGTAGAAGCTCACTGTCTAACATAGGTGATAGGTACTGGAAAGTAATTGTAAATATGTTATATGTAGTTTTTAGTATAAAGACATAACACCACCCTGGGGGCAGACAGAGTGCCTGGACTGTCTTGCTGAGCTGACCTTGGCAGGGCAGGAGAAGATTTTTTATAGATGAGATACAATAAACAACCTTGAGACCGAGAAATGAAGAGCCCTGACTCCTTCAAGCGCCGGGCTGGGAAAAGAGACTTTGGAACTCTTCTAGGGGTCACTCTGACCAGCCAGAGACCCCAACACCAGGTCACATCCAGCCCCCCATCCACCAGCACCCCCAAGTCCTTCAGGGCAGGGCTGCTCTCGATCTGTTCATCCCCCTGCCTCTGGACAGCAGGGTTTGCCCCATCCCAGGTGCAGCACCTGCTCTTGGTCTCATTAAACCTCATGAGAGCACAATGGGCCCACTTCTCCAGCTTATCCAGGTCCCTCTGGATGGCATCCTGTCCTCAGGTGTGCCAACCACACCACCCAGCTTGGTGTCATCAGCAAATATGCTGAGGGTTCACTCACTGCCTCTCTCTATGTCAATAACAAAGGTATTTAATAACACTGGTGCCAATGAGGATCCCTGAGAGACACCACTTGTCACTGCTGTCCATCAGGACTTTGAGTTGTTGATCACCACTGAATGCAACTGTCCAACCACTTTCCATCATTAAATCCACCATTAAATCCACCTCTCTCCAGTCTGGGGGAAAAGGATGTTGTGGCTAACTGTGTCAAAGGCTTTACAGGAGTCCAGATAAATGACATCTGTAATCTTTCCCTTGTCCACCAATGTAGGCACTCCATCAAATAAATAATTTTCTCTTGTTTTTCCTGTGCCCTTTGAGGCTACTCATAGCCCTCAGAACATCAGAGCGCAGCATCAAGTACAACAAGCAAGAATTCCCCTCCACCCAACTCTTTCAGGCCTTGAGTTGCAGCCATGCCAACCATCTGAGCTATCCTGAAAGCAGGACAGAGAATCTGCTCATGAAATAAATGAAAGGAAATTTGCTGTGTAACTGTGCTGGCAGGCTTAAGCTGCACTGCTTTTGCTGTTCAGACTCATTTATCTTTACGGGTTATTGCTAGAACTGCACCTCAGCACACTTTGCTAATTTTCCCTGTGAGGAAAAATAACACAGTTCTTGGAATCCAAACACAGAATTATTTTCACTCATTTATTTGTCCCCAATTTATAATTTACCCATCTAATTACAGCAATAATTAGGCTGCAGGATGTAATATATGTGTTTCCACAGGTAGCTGCTGAAATTTTACCAGAGGTAATGCAGGGAACTGATGTGTGTGATAATGAACTTTCTGTGTTATATAGCCAAATCCTACACCCAAAAGGAAACATATATTGGAAATTCTCTCCCATACTTTTATGGCAGCTGTCTGCTCTCCCAGACAACTTCCATGCTGTGCAGGCTCAACAACACAATCTGTGTCTTATCTTTGTGCTGAATTCACTGTGTATTTGCAAAAACCCACATATAGTGGGTTTCTTTTTCTAGGATGAGCTTGGATTTCAAAATCAGAAATCTGGTAACTCTACAATTACTCAGAATGGCTGCAGGTTTCATACTATCTGCACACATCTATATTTTTCCTAATGATAACTCTGATTAAGCAGATATAGTGATAACTATTGATGTCTGGTTAAACAGATACAATTGATATCAATACACTATTGATAGCAGGAAGTGTGATTTTGCATTTGCTTTGTTGCCAAGGCTAAGATAGTACAGGACAATGAATTAACTGTAACTATTTATATCAGGAAAGTATATGGAGGGTTTATAGCACAACAGAAACATGCCATTGCAAGCAACACAGATATAAAATAGAAAAGAAGCAACTACTATAATTTCTATTAAATAATAAGGAAGGAAAAAGAGTAATGAAAGGCAATTTTTTCTCCCTTTTAGCCTGCTGGCTAAAAAGTATCAGCTTGAATCCCCTCCCAAATCCAACCAAAATTCTCATTATATACATTGTGCCATATTTAAAGGAACCTGAGAAAAATACAGTATAATACATTTAAATCAATAATCTAAAATGAGGCATACAATTAAGAGAAGACAGATGCTGAGGACCTGTGTATGCTAGACCAGTTTTAGAGAGGTGTTTGCTATATATTCCTGCACTGAACACGTCATGCTTGTTATTCTTTCACTATCCACCTTCCCTGGGTGGTAAATTATAGAAAATCACCTAACACAATTCACCTTAGTCGCTTCAAATCTCAGTATGGTTTCTCTTTTCGTGCTCCTCATTCCTTTTTTTTTTTTTTTTTTATTATTCCGAAGGAATTCAAGGTTAGAAAACGCGGCAGCTATGGATACAGTTTTACTTCAAAAGCGTAAGGCGAAAGCAGCATTTTCAAAGTGCCGCACACAAAGGGATGCTCAGGGATGTTCAGGGATGTTGGGTTTTGCAGGCTGCTTTTTTTTTTGCTGAGCCCTGGCAGCGCCTTCGGTGAGATCACAGCGCTCTCTAGTGCCTTCAGCGAGCACATGGAGAGAACCTGAGCCCCTTTCCTTAAATAAACCGGCACACCAAGGACCCACCACAATCGCTTTGGAAAATACGTCGAATAAAATGGCTGTGTTAATTATCAGCTCGCAACAGGATTGGTTTGGTTTTTTTTGTGTTTTTTTTTTTTTTCCCTACCCATGCCTGATTTAGCTACTAGGAAAAGAGGCAAACATATTAAAGACATACAGATATGCATAAATAGTACTGGCCATTTTAAGAATGTCAAGGAACAAGCTGGATGCGTTTTCTACAGCATCAAAAACAATGTTGAAATATTAAACTTCATCAATAAAAAATCGATTATGTTTAAAAGAGTGCAAGCCCGAGAAATAGCGTGTAACAAATTTCAAATGCTGCTTTAGGAATGGAGTGTGAGCCACCCAAAAAGCTTTATCAGAAATGCCAAGTTTTTAAATAGAAGAATCTCTTATTGAAGATTATGACATATCAGGATACTGTTTTCACAGTCTTTCTTACAATCTTAATAGCACTTTCAAGTGAGGCAAACATGTAAAATATCACAAAATCCAGCATAATTACCAAGGTCAGCTCATTATCTGTGACTCAGAGGCACTTAAAAGAAAATTCAGCAAGGAATAAGCTCTTGATGGAATATTAATATCTACTTTGAACATCCTGGCTTTTGAAATATCATATTTCTTTGACTGTTATGAAATTTCAGTTTTCCTGCCAACAGCCTTTTTAAAGAATGGTAAAATACACACTACTTTTCCACATGACCAGGACATATATTCTTATGTCTGATTAGGTAGTCATTATTTTAAAAGTTTACCTATACATCCTTTCAAAAAGATATTTTCCTCAGATGCAAATTAGTTTTTCAGAAACCCATCCACAGAACTCATTACTATCACTTATTTTAAAATATACATATGTTTATAAAAAATAGATCTTAAAAAATCTAGCTGGATTTTATAACATGTAGGTTCAGTGCAGGTAACAAAGTTTACCCCACCTGCCACGGAAATAATGATGCATTACGTATTACATACTCATTTAGATGAGTAGGTTATGCTACTTATATGACCTATGTTCATGTAAAAGTCAAGTTTTTACATAGACATTGTAAGCCTCCTTTAGTCCCTCAACTATATTTTGATTTATATGGGCCACTTTGTGCTATTATAATTTCCTACTTTTTTTTTTAATTTTAATTTTTTTATTCCCATGGGATCCTCACATGTTTCAAGTTGTACCTACCTTTGTAGAAGTACTTCTAAACTGGCATTGTCAGGTTAAGATGATGTAATCTCTCGTGATCATACTGATTATTGTAAAATAAAATGTTTCATACAATATTACACAATTATGCAGTACTGGGATTTATTCTGTTTATTATTCTGTAATGGCCCTCAAAGTAGATAATACAAGAATCACTGTACTTACTTTTTAGATCTAGATTTCTGGCTCCTGCTGTGCTCTGCGTTGTGATTTTAGTGTCAATCTTTACAGTGTGTAGGTTGTTGGTGTCCCTTGATATCATGACATTATGCCACTGGTTGTCATTCAGAGGTTTATTAGAACTTCCCTTGATGAGGTTGGCACCATTTCCCAAGTCAAACACATAGTGTAAATACCTGGGAAAAGAGAAAAAATTGGAAAAGTTTCCTTTTTCTTTACATAGCAAGGGGGCAATAATTAATATGTCTAATATTTTCTATTTGCTTGTACTCTTCAGCAGTGTACTCTTCAGCAGCACTGGCTAAACCAGAGGACAACAATGAATGCCAGATGGGGAAGCAACTGTGATTCCAAGAAATTGCCACTCGTTTGGATGAGTTGAGGTGCAGTCCCAAGTTTCTGGAAAGCAACGAGCACTCCATGTACCAAGACATGCATACATACGTAGAGAGAGAGAACAAGAGGGAGGCTACAAACTAGCACTTCTTTGTGGTAAGCACCAGAGAAGTTATACCTATTATTTACTTTCATACATTTCAGCCATCTAGCTTCATCTGAAAGAAAGAGTCACAATAAAGCACATGAAGTTCAACAGGAAGAAACATTTATCCATCACATCTATCCAGTCAGAAAAAAAAAAAATAAATATTTGCATCCTAAACTTTCCCGTGTATTCCTCCTGCACACACATTTTGAATGGACTGGTTTTGCTGTTATGCTAATCCATACATACCCTTTCACTAATTCAACCACAATGAAATCATTTCCATCGCCACTGTTAAAAAGTATCAATCCATCCAGGGAGGTGGTTTTGAACTGGAAAAAAAGGTGCATAGATGTGTACGCTTGTAGCGTGGCCAGTGCAACATAACTTGCTTTTGTTTTAAAGGTTACAGGGTCTGCTATGATGTTCCTGAACCCAAATCTTGCATTTAGCTCACAATAATCGATGTCTCCATTTTTACATAAGTCAATGTATGCCATGCCATTAAATGTGAGACTCTGTAGATGCCCAATAAAATTAGAAGGCACAGAAGACAGGTAGCGCCGTTCTGTTATTATTCCTGTTTCTATGTTGTGGAATTCCAGCCGTGTGTGATCGCCAGCCATTTGACCTTTAAACAGCAACAAGAAAACATGTGTTAGTCTCTGAAAGGGGAGGTCAAAGAGCACATCATGTGATTAAGCATCTGCATCATTTCCACTCTTTTCAGAATGTGCAAGGCCAGTTGTTGTCTCCAAAGGGAATTCTTCCAAATTCATCCTAGTTACTGGTAAATCTAGGAGCCTTTCCAAAGCATTCAGTACATTTGGAGAAGGCCAACAGAAAAATTTCTCAACTGAAACAGTTTACCAGAGTACATTAAACTGCCAACAAAATCCCTCACTTTAGTTACACCTAACCAGATGTGGGGTTTCACTATAAGCAAGTGCAATTACTTAACATGAGGAACACAAAGGCCAATCTCAGAGCTAAACCAACAAAATCAGAGTCTCATGAAAGAGAAACAGAACAGCTTGAGGGATTTTATTCCATGTGTTTTGCTTCAATGTGCATGACTTGACCAGCAGTAGGAAGGATTCCTGTTTCAGCTGTCTTGGGTACATTAATGCCAGCCCTGCTGCAAAAAGCCCTGTGTGGCAAGGGTGGAGAGATGCTTGAGAGCAACTGGCTTTGTACCATGGGAATAAACCATGGGAGAAGGGGCAGAGCCCAAGGGATGGGCAGAGCAGAAAGCCTGCAGGAAGGGTGCATGCCAGTGTTCTGTAATCCTGGAAACAACAAGGGACTTGCTTACGTTGGAAAGGTGTCCAAAAGCAAACCCCTCAGCTGCCTTTGAGTTCTCTCTGCCATGCCTGGACCACTGCAGAGCAAGAAGACTGAAATCTGCTGACTGCAAAGCTAATCTGGAGGAAAGGATCAGCACTGCCAGAGTACACTGCATACAGGTCAGGTAAGTTTTTAAGCTAGTTATTAAATACCTTACCCAGCACATCAAAATTGTGTTCACTGAAGAGTTTCTTTTTCTGACAGAACACCCAATTTTTTTCCATGCTTATTTTAAAGAAGTAGGGCAGTATTTTCACAGGGCTGATTCATGGTCACATTGTGTGGAAAAACAGCTTCTTATTACTAATGAATTTCACCACTTAATGTACCTTTTGCAAACCATTTCACAAATTCCCCAGTTTCTTAGCTGTTTCACGTCTCTCGTGGAATACAGAGAAAGTGAAGAGCAGACCAAGTCAGGCTGGAATAAATACTGGCATAAAACAGCTCTAATACAAATTTTCACAGTGGCAAAGCTGTTGACAAGCCAAGTTCCCTCTGTCCATTCCCAAATATTCTATTCCAAGAGAGAGTGTGAGCACTGCCCCAGGCTGGACATGTCAGAAGTGGCGCACAAAGCCTGGAGCAGGCTGACACAGCTGTACCTTTATAGGTGTCATAAGCAAGTGTCTGTGGACATGTGTGTGACAGGGAAAAGACAAGGGAAAGAGAAATGTCAATATATCAGATTTGCCCAGGGAGATGAATTCATGAGCAGGTTAAGTCACAGCACTGAGATACAAGTACAGCCATCAGTGAAGTTACAGGGAAAATAGCTCTGTAAGTTTTAATGCCATTCAGGCACAAAAATTACTCTAATAATTTATGATAAACATTTACAAGTAGCTTACTTAGCTTTGAGATGGGTTCTGAAGGAGAACTTGTCATAGAACACCACCTGGACTCACAGGGCTGAGCACTGCAAGAGGCACCCTAAACCCCAGGGACAGCCTTGATGTTCTTGTTTCTAAACATCAGTTCTGAAGATACCACTTTCCCTCAATGCATTAAGGAAAAGTGGCTTCTTCCATGCAGTAATGAGTCAGGGAGCTGTCTTGAAAAATGCCAAATGTATAATTTTTGCTGGGACAAGAGCTGTATGTTGGATCACAGCCAAAGAGATGAGGATCAGGTTTCAGAGAGGAACATTATATATTCAAGTCTTGTATCCCTTCAGATGGCATTCCAATAACGTCATGGCAAAAATCCACCAAGCTCTGGCCTGTAGCACAATATCCCCACTACATTAAATGTATTTCTTTCTTGAGCACAGTAATAAAAAGTTCCAGAATCTGGGCTCACATCCCAACATTTCAGTTCTACAAACATGCAAACAGGACCTGAGATTTCACATAATGCTCAACAGGATTTGTAAATGCAGCAATGAAGTAAAAAAGAATGTAGTTTGTACTTACAAGGCGGATTGTGTGGGGATTTGTTGGTGGTTTTTTGGGTTTTTTTTTGGTTTCTTTTTTTGTTTGGTCTGGTTTTGGTTGTTTTCTTTTTTCTTTTAAGTTCGTCAGATTTGTGGAAAAACATCATACAAAAGGGCAATTGAATTTCTGTTCATAACCATAGGCTATTCTGTTACCCAAATTTAGTGAATTTCCAATCATTTTCATTTTCTATACAATCTTAGAAAACAAGGCTTATTAGAGATGGAAATATTAAACTCTTCTGTGATGAGTAACTTCAAAACCACCTGTATGGCTTCCAATGAAAGCTAGTTATGCCTGAATTTCATTGCACACATCATGCATTTGTCAAAGAGGACCAAGCACAACTCACAAATGAACAAGTGGTATTTTATAATCTGCAAAAATTAGAAAGTCAGGCTGAATTATTTAATAGATTTTCATGGAGCTTAAGTTTTCTGGATCTGATGGGGATTCTTTCATATATGGCACAGGAAATAGAATCAAAAAAGGAAAACAACATGTGGAAGCAGAAAGCTGGAATTTTTAGCAGGAAGTCAGTTTACTTCCTTATTCTCCTCATAAAACTATAATAACTTTTCACATGAAAAATTAATGGGTTGTATTTAAATGAAATTTCTGATTGTTGGAACATCCGAAGAAAAGTTTAGAACAAGCACACTTTAATCCCATAAGGCAACCCTTTCCCTATGCTTTCAGGAAATTCAAAGCAACTACACATTAAATTCTATTACACACATTTGAAATCTAATTTTTTAAAGGCTTTTAAAACACTCAGTGTTGGAAAAAACCTAAAACATCCAAAAAACCCCACCCCCCCAAAATAAAAAAAACAAACCAAAACAAAAATTCTCACCCCTTGCACAACAATAAAGACTTTTTTTGTAGGAAACGTGACATTGATTGAACTAACAGCAGATTGCCTACATTTAGAGTTCCCTCTGTTTCTTCTCATACAGCATTTTCCTCCTCACTGATGGAGGAGGCCACAGATTGGCTACAGATTCAGGAATTATAGGATGTCTTTTTCCCTCCAAAATATTGGGATGAGTTTCTCCTTCTGGATTAATAACATTAAACATTTGTGCATTATGCAAATGCAGACAAGTTCCAGCTCGAAGAACTGAGAGGGAATTCAAGTCAACTGGCCATTTTTGGTTGTACATACTGGGTACAAAGAATACAAATGTTGCACCAGAAAGCTGGACCCAGGTTATTATTATCCTGCAGTATTTGTAAATTAGAGCTCTGGCATGAGGAGTCCAGGAATTGTGAATTTGGATATTGCATTGGATTTTGATCTAAACTATTTTTTTTCTATATTAGGATCTGTCTTGAGTAGCAGTTGAAGCAGCAAGATTATAATATTTATTGGTATACTTCCTCCTATACTATCGAAAAGAAAATAAATTAATAATGCCATCTGTATTCTTGAGAAAATTACCCTAGGCATCATAACATACACAGACTTCAGTGCTGGAAGATATATTGGTAATTTCTGATTCTAGAAAATATGTTCTTGCAACTATATGAATTATTTTCCTACCAGTGACAAGACCCTCAGTGTTCTGTTGAGGTGAAAAGGGATTATTAAAGAAGTTACACTCCTCTTTAAAAAAACAAACAAAAAAAACCAACAAAAAAAAATTAACTTGTTACTATTTTAACAAAGCTTAAAACCAATGATAAAAGTTGTTTAATTCTACACAAAACCAAAGAATAATTCTAAATAGCTAACAAAAATTTTAGGCACATTCTTCTGTGCAAGGAATCAGGGCCAGAAGCCAGATAAGTTGCTATTAACAACATGCATGTGAACATTGTCTTGTACAGGGCAAAATCAATGTGTTCTCTATTAACATTTCTGATCATAGAAATACAGAAACACATTTCTATTCATCTGCTAACATGGCTGCCATTTTTTTTTCTCCCACCCCAACTGCTATTTTAGTATTTGAGAAAAACACGCTGCCTAATATATAATTATTGAGGACAGCTGATGCAAGATTCAAATCACAGTAGAATATCCTTCAAATGTTTATTAAACTCTTTCTTCCAGCGGTGGCTTAGAGATTAGCCCTAACAATGTGTTGCCAAAAGCATTTTGCTTGCCTTCTCATTAGTGATGTACTAAATTACTTCTCTCCAATCACTGTATAAAAACATTCATTTAAGTCAGCACGAAGGTTTTCATTAATTTCAATAGCAACCTTAGAGCAACATTAATAGCAAGGGTAATAACACACTTCTTGTACCAGCATTCTAAGCTGCATAGCATGAATTTGGAATCTTACCCAGGAAAAAGGAAAAAAAGCACGTTACTCTCAGATAAAGCCATTTTGCTTCTGTATAATTTTTTTTGGTTTTGTTTTTATTTTGCCTTGTGTTTCCCCCTCCCAGCAGCACAGAATCATGGAACCCCAGTGCCACAGTACCTGTCACGGCCTGCTGGTCATCCACCATTAACTTTAAACCTTTTCCTCGCCGCACCACACGCACTGTGTGCCACTCATTATCATTGAGGTTATAGCCAGCAAAAAGGGTTTCTGGGCCTTTGCCTGTAGGACATGCCAAACAGTCATTATGCAATCTTTAAAGCAGTTTACATGTGAACCTCACAGAGAAAGAGAGAAACAGAGAGACTGGCTGGGCAAATGTTAAAACTCACCAAAAGTCACATCAAGCAAGAAAATTACCAAGTATAAGCAAAACATAGAGCTACTATGTACTGAATACTACAGAACTATTAAACTAAAACACTTCTAATGTCTATTTAGCTATGTAAACACATTGTGTATGCACCAGGTTTTCATAAATAGGCACAGTCAACATGGATTTAATTGTTCACTTTTCAATCTTATACGAACCTTTAAGAAATAGGATTACTGAACCAAAAGAACTTCCAAGTACGCATTTACAAGACTGGATTTTTAAAATGCTCATTTATTAAAAATAATTTGGTGGAAAATAAAAAGTGGTAAGTGTGTGTGCATGTGTTATATTTTTCTTAATCTATCGCAATTTCTCTGTTTAGCTTCTGTTTATTAGGACTTCTTAGAACATTATCTATTACCTCATCTAGATGATTTGCTACTATTCAGAGTCAGTGCCTTCTGCTGTTAGTAGATCTTCAAACCATGCTTTCCTTTTTCATTTCATGGATATGGGTTTTTTGGTTTTTTTGAAATCTGCTATTTCTCAGCAGTACAGCAAACATTTTTAATGCAAATTCTGTATATAGCACAATGTACTTGTGACAACCAAAGTATTCACAAACCTAGGAAAAAAGATACCTTTAATGCCCAGGAAAAGATTTCTTATAAGAAAAGGATTATGGATGTTGTGCCTTGCACTGTTGACCAAGAGAGAAAGAAAAGCCCTGAGTTTGTACTGTCATTGATATGAATAGATGATAGACCAAGCGCTGCATGAATAGATCAAAACTCATGTGGTGACTGTCCAAAAGGCAAAGATAATCTACAATAAAAAAATTACATTGTTGTAAAACAGAGACCTCCCTAGTCTGTTTTTCAGTTCCTGTGGCAGAATAAATGCTGCTGATAACTTAAAGTTGTCAATTAAATTCTGGACTCTGTGCAAAAGAGAAACAGAGCCCCTGCAGCTGGTCCAGAGGAGGGCTACAAAGATGATCAAGGTACTGGAGCATCTCTCTGATTAGGAAAGGATGAAGGACTGGGGCTGTTCAGCCTTGAGAAGAGATGACTGAGAGGGAACCTCACCAGTGTCCATGAATATCTACAGGGAAGGGCCAAAGGATGGACCAGGGTCTGCTCGGTGGTGCTGGGCAGTGGGACAAGGGGCAACAGGCAGGAACTGAGGCTCAGGAAGTTCCACCTGAACATCAGGAAGAAGTTCCTTACTGTGCAGGTGGCACAGCACTGGAACAGCTCACCCAGGTAGGCTGTGGATTTCCCCCCTCCATGGGGATATTCAAGAACTATCTGGACACACTCCTGCGCCATGTGCTCCAGGACAAAACTGCCTGAGCAGGGAGGTTGGATCAGATGCCCCACTGTGGTTCTTTCCAGCATGACCCATCCTGTGATTCTGTATAAGAGACACATTATAAGATAACTTTTGACACAGAAACATTAGGGTTACCCTGAGTCAGACCATTACCTCCACTGTGCCCTGCCAGGTGACTCTATCCCATGTGTCAGTCTTGCTCTGGAAGGGACACGCAACTAGCTCTGAAACTCTCCCACTTTTCTCTTGGGATTCTATTCCATCCAGCACAGGCTAACTGTGATGGGTGAGACCTGTTAATAAAATCAAAGCCTAAAAATCAAAGCCTGTCTGATTTCAGAACTACACAGAAAGAAAAGGACACTAAGATCTTGATGTAGCTGTTCAGCATATTGGACAGTTTTCATCTCAGATATTTTCTGTCAGCAATTTTTAAATTGCTGCTGGTTTATTGCCCTGCTTTAATATGCAACCTTTGCTATTTTGGGCATGCTAAGGGATCTTCAGGAACAAAAATGCAAAGCAAAGGCAGTGAGAGTCTCATAACACTGTTTTTCTGTGTCTGTGTTGACACCAAGCTAGCAAAGGTGTTCAAACCCAGCAGAAGCAGATGATTGGGGTCAACTACATGAATCATTCTGTTCCTTAAATGTTTGCTTTCTTTGACAAGAGAAAGACCAGTTTTGCAAAAAGCTTAAGTGAATAATATTCTCTTTGAATGTGCTGATATAGATGCAGTGACTAAAACCTTAAGCAATTTATTTTAAGCACTTCAGTGGAAGCAATTCTACCTAGATTTGGAGACAACAGATGGATTTTTTTTTTTTTTAAAAGCTGAAATAACATGAGAAAAATCTTAGTGAGAGTCATTAAGCCTGCCTAGGCACACACCCTTTAATAATATCGTAAACATATTCATACTTATTTGTTAGTCCAACTTTTTTCTTTTTTAATTTTTAAAGTAGTTCAACCACTTAGTCTCCATTATCTTGCTTCATATCTCTAAAAGACCTAAAAGCATATGCAATTTTAATTTACTCTCACATTAACAACCCTCTATAGTGTCTCTTTCGTGCAAAGGTGCCTCAGTGTATGCTATTATCAAATCCAACTTGGCTGCTCACATTTACAGGCAAATCTATCTATTCTATTTTAATGGCTGGGGACTTGTAAACTCTTCCTGTTGTAAAATTAAATGTGTGCTTTCCATCAGTCTATTTCCCTTGCAAGAGTACTCAGAGTAAAAAAATCAGGTCAGAACTCGGTGAAAGCTGCCTGTTCCCACTGCACACAATCCAAGAGAGGATTAAGGGGACCCCTGGTGAAAGGGCTCTGAAAAGGACAAACCTTGGTATGACACACCATGGGAGCAGCGCACTGAAAAGAGTCCTGGCCTTGGACAAACTACCCACATGCACGGGAAAGAGGCCTTTCCTTCCTGGGTCTGATCTCTAACAGAGAAAAAGGGCTTTTGATTTGTCACAGAGGGTACAAGAAACTACAAAATAGCCAGGCCCAGTGCCCAGGGATTGTGTATCTACCTGTCCCATCACAGTGCTTCTCTGCAAAGTAGGACAGTTTTCCATGGCAGCTGAAGAGGGAGATAAGAAAGGAGGGATGCTCAACATTCCTGTGCTAATGCAGTGCTTGGGCTGCTTCCTGGCCAAGGAGATGCTTTCACACAGAAAAGCAGCAAATATGATTGTAAGCAGAGTCTTTGGGAGAAAATTGTCTAAATGCTTAAACAGAAAACCATATAGGAATCCATTGATACCACAAGACTACCACAACTGCAGAAGAAAACTCTTAAGATACCCTGTTAAATGTCATTGGTCAACCTGAAGCATTGTTCATATTAGTACTGTCCTCACTGATTTTCAAATGTATTGACCTAAAATTAATTTAAACATCATATTGAGATCATACAGAGTCTTCTTCTGCCCTGGTTATCATTCTTATGGTGAATCTACTATAAATCTATATCTACTAAATCATTGGCTCTCCAGTCTTGTTCTGACTACACTGATCTGACTCCACTTCACTTAAATCACACCAGCAGAAAGTGCTCTTGAATGAGTGTATTTAAATAACAATTGGCATACTTCCACCATATTTTTTTGTCAAGGGGTGTTCTGGGATTTAAAAAAAACCAAATTGTTCTATATCTCCCACAAGAAGAAAAGCAAGAGCCCCAATTAAAAGAATGGGTGCATATATATAAAATTTTTGTTTTACGTGGACTGCTACTATTTTTCCAAACTTATGTCCCTCCACTCCTATTTCCCATACTGTCCTTCCCCTGGAATTCATGTGTCTCTTTCTAGACAGGACATGGTTATTTTGCTTCACACACCCAGCCAGCACTGGCTCACTTTCTGAGCTACTGTTTCTCTCAGATACTAAAACCTTAATCATAAACCTTTTCTTTCTGAGACAAGATGCAAACTGGAAAAAAAAAATCCATTGACTATCTCCTCTTGCTTAAGTATTAAATTTATTATCAACATCTAGGTTCAGCTCTTTTCCTATTTTTAAAGGCTTAAATTACCACCATATTTTATGCATCCTTAGAGAAAATGGAGAGTAGCAAATAAAAGATGCACTGTCACTTTTATGGCTACCATGGTTTGCTCAGAGTCCATCATGCCAGTAAAATTTCCACATCCATTTAAAAGCAGATAATTGCTTGTACAAACACCTTTTTTCAAAGCAAAATTCAGACTGTGCAGTCAGTCAATATAGGTACAAATCTTGATGGTGCAATTCATTATAAGCTAAGAGATATAAAGCCCTAAATATTGCCAGTTATATGTTTACTTTGGCATCCAAAGCTGAGCTTACTTTGTTGTCAGCACCTCAGCTGGAACTTAACAGCCTTTCAAAGTTAAAGGAATAAAGTATGAACCTCCCAAAGGGAAAAAAAAATCTAATTTCCATCATGCTGAATATTCTAAATGTTCTTTGGAGATTCCTATTCTCTTTACTACCTTGTGAGGAGCTTATTCAGCCTAACTCAAGTGCTGAAGATTTGCTGAATTCCAACAAGTCAATCAATTAACTTTAATATGCACAACTTTTCCTCTTAGAGATATCTATCCTGTGGTACTTTACGTTTTTAAACAACTACTTGAACTAAACTGATGATTTTGAAAGAAGATACTAGCTCTTGCATTGTACCAAAACATGTTCAAAATGAGTTGTCTGAATTTTTTTCTCACAATGCAATCCACCACTACTACTAAGGCATATACCAAAATGCTTCGAACATTGAATTCTGCCATTAAAATAAATAAGAAATATAGAAAGAGGCACTGTAAACAGAGACTAGCAAGGGAGACTGGGTGTTTCAGTGAATGCTGTACTAACCAGTGGAACCCAGACAAATCACTACTATTTATTTATTAGTCAGTAAAAGAAAGATCAGTGTTTTCAGCCTGGTTTGCTGATAGAAAATTGTGCATAGTGCAGCTATCAGTAACAAGACAAAAAGACATTTGGACAAGAAGACAAAACCCTGGAATCTATTCAGTTAGTAGAGAAAGTTACTTGAGGTCAGGGTTGTCAAGACTTC